ACTGCTCCGGGTGAATATTTAGCGAGCGGAAAGCGAAAAAATGTATGCGGTGGCCCAAGCTTCAAGTTTATTCGAGAGCTGCTCGCCGGTAACTAAGCACTCAGAGTCATTAAACCGCTCCTCAAGCGTCCAAAACAGACGACGACGCATTAAAAGAAAAATAAATAAATAAACCACTTTGAAACAAAAAGCGAATTCCGAAATGAAGATGGACCGAGAGAAAAAACTCTACGGATGAAGAAAATTCAGCTTCAATCTACAAGCAAATGCGGAGGCATATCCTAAGATAAAAGGACCACATTTTGTAATACGGAACCACTCTATCTGGCTTATATCAGGAACAACATATATGCCATTGGTTTCCTCCTGTAGGAAGGTGCTTTTATGGAAGAGTCAGGATGGAGGTGGATGGTGGGATATGGTTCCTTATGTAAAAGGTAATCCAATTATGCATTCCTACCTCCGGCATTTGGACGGATTGGCAAAATCCGCGGGGATTTAAGCAGTGCCGGGTGTGAATGATCGATTATCGATATATCCCCATTTGAAACTGTGGTAAAGAATCGATTATTAAGGTGTTCGTTGCGAACATCCTGTCTACCGGTCCTTTTTCATAGGTTTTAATGGCAGATCAATCGATGAATCGCAAACCACGCCACGCCATTGAACGTAAGTCCTCCTTGTAATTTTAATCATTTAACTTGTCAAAAGTTTACAAAATTCAGGTCTTGGGTTACCTACTGAGAATCATAACTTTTTTACACCCGAAACTTCATGTCAAAGAGCAAATTTATGCGAGGCGCCCTCAGCTCCGGTTACTTGCAATTAGTCTTATTCATGCGGAGTTATGAAGGAATTTAATTTTAAATAGTCGAGTAAGACCAATGTAATTTAACAAATTAAGGTGGTCGTATCCAGGTACCCAACGTTGCCACTTTATCAGTGTTTAAAAAGGCAAAGCTTCATAATGTCAGGGCATTTTGAGATTTCTTGCGTTTACAAACGTTTCTACGTTTTATGAGTGCACACGTATCTTATTAGTGAACCATAATATTTATTGAAATTTGGCACGAGGAAAATAATCTTGAATTGGCTGAATTAGCGAAAGCTTCGGGCTGATTTAGAGAGGCTGTCACATTTCTTTTTAAATCTATACTGAAACTAGAAATTGCACCTCTGGCATCGCTGTAGAAAGTTTCTCAGATATCTTAATTGGACTGGACTCGAAAGAGTAGGGATGGGGGCCTTAAAAATGGAGCATAATTACTGCAAGTCGCATTTTGTCTGCCACATTTTGGCCTTGACGTTTCAAATAAATTAATTTCATTCATTGAAATCTAGCATTCATATTATAGCCTCATTATACCTACTATCTACCCTTTATAAAAACCTTCCGTGTTCTTATCGCCTTTTCCTCTCCTTCTTTAATGTCGATGACTCACTTTAAGGATGGATAATCTTATCTTGGTTTGCTTCTTTAAAATCAGGATCTGCGGCCTGACCCCCCGAGGGCGCCTCGGGCAGAATTTAAAATTCCCGCCATTTTTCATGGGCGGAAATTTCACATTTTGATTGCAAAAGCAAAATTTGAAAGGTGCCAATTGCGCCTGGTGGTCTCTGGGTGGATAGGGGGCAATGACGATTGGGCGTCGCAGAGCGCGAGGCTGCGCTATAAAAGTGGCTGAATGTATGTATGTATTAAACACAATAGTGTCTGCTCTAAATGAAATCATATTAGCATCTTGTGATAACGTCATCGAGACACCGATCTTTGGAACTTTGCTGAAAATATTCACTTCTATACAGGCAATGACATCGCGAACACGATTGGGATACACGACTTCACATAACAATTGGAGTGGACGTATTTCTGTCAAACGAAACTATGTGCATTATGACATGTGCTCTATTATGCATATATTCTATGGGTCTCAGGGCTCATGTCTTAATGCACAAAGTTATGTTTAGTAGAAATACGTCCAATAGTGGGCCTGTTGCAAACTTTTGCTAGAGCAGAATGAAGAGTTGTTTCCTATAGATAATGCCTCAAAAATCACGATGAGCGCATCGGCAAAGTCTGAAATGCACTCATAAATTCACAATCTGCGTAAGAAATTTGCGTTATTTTGAGCTTCCCGCTTCAAAAACGATACTACTGCATAGGTGAACATTTTGTTAGATGAGTCCCTCCATCGTCGGCAATATTCATCATGGCCGACGGCGCCGACGCTTGCGCAGTTCCGCGAGTAATTCGAGGAGAGTTCAAGATCAATTAAGGCGGGCGAGGAAAATATAAACGTAAACACGCCGATTGTTATCTGGTTTAATCCTGTTCAGATGCTATCTCGTCCCATCACAGGTGTTTTGGCGGACTGGCATCGGCCATGATGAGTATTGCCGCCAATGGAACGACTCATCTAACAAAATGTTCACCTGTACCGTAGTATCGTTTTCGAAGCGGGAAGCTCAAAAAACCGCAAATTTCTTAGGCAGATTGTGAAGTTATGAGTGCATTTCAGACTTTGCCGATGCGTTCATCGTGATTTTTGAAGCATTATCTGTAAGAAACCACTCTTAGTTTTGCTCTAGCAAAAGTTTGCAACAGGCCCATTGCGACCGGAAAGTAATAATAAACGAACACGGGTGAAAAAATATACGGCGGTCAGTTTTTCATGTGACGCCACAAAATCTACCGGTACGATTTTTCCCGTTTGACTCTCACAAGGGGAGGCTACCGATTGTCCACCTCAGATCGGGTTCAAATTTAGCAGAGAGGTAGAATAGGTTAATATAAGAAACCGAATTTTTTTTTAGGTGCCAATGCCCAGCCGTTTTTGAGTTATGAATTTTTGAAGTTGCCGTTTTTTCGTGTCAGCGACGCGCTAAAGTTGAGCCTACTGTGCGCGCATCTTTTAATGCGATCCGAGTGTCCCGACATTCAAGTGAGACAGTTGCCCAAACGGTAGCGCGCTCGCCTACGGTGCTGCAGTTTCAGGGTTCGATACTACTTCCGTGAATTACATTTTTGCAATTGATTATTTTGTTTTTTAATCGCTTCATCACAACAAATTGTAAGTCACCTTGTAGACGTTATGATTCTAATTAAACTTTATGTATTTTTTATTTTTTTAATGAGTGTGTAACAAAAAAGGAAAAAAATATAATCAGCACCACAACTTCTACAAGGTGACTTACAATTTGTTGTGATGAAGCGATTAAAAAACAAAATAATCAATTGCAAAAATGTAATACACGGAAGTAGTATCGAACCCTGAACCTGCAGCACCGTAGGCGAGCGCGCTACCGCTTGGGCAACTGTCTCTCATGAGCGTGGGGCACTCGGATCGCATTAAAAGATGCGCGCACAGTAGGCTCAACTTGAGCGCGTCGCTGACACGAAAAAACGGCAACTTCAAAAATTCATAACTCAAAAACGGCTGGGCATTGGCACCTAAAAAAAAATACGGTTTCTTATATTAACCTATTCTACCTCTCTGCCAAATTTGAACCCGATCTGAGGTGGACAATCGGTAGCCTCCCCTTGTCAGCTGGATATTTTAGGTGACGTTGACAGTCGTCTTCTCAGCTAAAATTGAATGAAATTAGAAACAGTAAAATGTTTCAATCTTCAATTTTTATTTGACGTTTTGTGCACTGTATACGCAAAGGATAGGATAAAATAAAGGGACCGTTCATCTTCAACTCAAAATATTTGGCCTCGGTGTTGTTGGAAAGGATTTCCCTAGCCTGGTGTAGGATGAAGAGGGAAGCCTCCCAAATCGGATAAAATCCGATTACTGTCGTCTGCCTCTCTACCCTTTCAGACCCTCGCGAAACGCTGGAACGCAGCTTTCAATCGCAAACGGTAAAACTGCAAAAACGCGATCTCGTTGGCGATGTTTTAAAATTTCCCCTCTCTTTTATAAGTAAGAAAAGAAAACAAACTAACAATAATTGCTGTAAAATTCCACAGCATATTACTATTCTCGACACGGAGAAGAAAAATCAGGGAGGTTTTCAAAAGCGGAAGTTGACAATTCCTCAAGAATCAAGCTAAACATCGGGGGAAAATGAAAACAAGAAGAAAATTCCGAAATGAATATGTTGGAAAAGCTTGACCGATAACTGAAATTTTAGACACACACACTATTTTCATGTCATTGCTATTTGCATCCATTGGTGCTTTTTGCTAAATTTGGGAGGAGATATTGATTCATGAACGTTGCATGTAAATTAATTTTAAAGATTTGCGTCCCATTATCTTGATTTTAAGCTGATATGCGGCATTTGCGCACGACCGCAATTCGCGGTGAACTGCCGTGCGTCAGCTTAAGATCAAGATAATTAAACAGAATTTTAGTTCGTTTTCATCATAATTTCGCACTGAGACTAAAAATTCACGCTAAAAGATGAATTTTTCAACGGCAAAGAAATTTCGGTATGGGTAGTAAAGTTCATTGAGGAGGAATAAAGGGTGTCTAATGTTTCTACCCCCACAATGGACGGATTAATTGCCGACCTCTCATCGGTGAAAAAAAGAGGTACTGGGTAGAAAAAAGGTCGGGTCATCGCGTAATAAAAGCTGCCAATTTACGGATTTTACTGCCGAATACAAAATCCCAGGTTTCGTGAAGTGGACTATAGTAGACCCGACAGCAGCGCAGGACGCTCATTGGCTAAAAAGTTTTGGCGGGAAAGAAGCTTCTAAAGTTGAGTCGTTCCAGCGTAGAAAAGCTTATTTGAGGTTTCTGTCAAGTGAAATAATACGGTTTTGACGAGAAAATGTTCAAGGGTTTCCAATTAGCAATTCATTCGGTTTTTTTGGTAGAAGACCATCAGGGCTTGACAGTATAACGGTTCAAAGACAAAAAAACGGGTCCGAGGAAAAAAATCTTTGAAGCGCCCGTTGAATAGCATGGGTTGATCGGTATGCTGTAGTTTGGTACATCCGAGTGATTTCAAAATGCGAGCCCTACTGGCGCGCTTAAAAATTGTCTTACCTTGTGAAAATTTGATCAGTGTTGGTCGAATGACTGCAATGCTCTCCCTGTAACAGAAAAAAATGTTGGGATATCTATAAGACTTTATCACATCCGCACTTACAAAAGACAAAAATATCGTTATCCATCAATTTTGCAACTGACACGAAACAACTCTTGCCAATATATCAAATTTTAGACGTGCGTCTTTTATGACGCTTGAGATACCTCTAATTTTTTTCTTTTTTTTCCCGAAGCAATTCGATTTGGTCACGTCATCTGGCATATTTTGAGCAAACTTGATCTCAGCCTTCCTTAAATTTTGACGATAAGAGACAACTTAAAGCGCGTTGATGAACGCACAGAAATTCAACTATTCGTGTTTGATAGGTGCCTATGTTGCATACGGGAAATGAATGGCGCAATGACGTCAGGCTTGAACTTGCAATGCTCCGTTCTTCGCTGCTGGCGAAAGGTCTCTCAGATTCGTGGAGAAAGTATCAAAAACGAGGCCCGGTTACGTATTCCCTGTCTCGGTTGTGATGTTTACGTAGCCCTTGAAGGTTCACTACAAATAAGACAAACTGAACCAACACAACATGGACACAGAGCAAAGGAAAGGATGCGCGTTGATGAGGGCGCAGAGATACAACTATTCGTGCTTGATGAATGTCAATATTGTATCTGCCTAATTGAAGGTGCTATGACTTGAGGCGCGAAAACTCAAATTTATGCACATAGTTTGACGTGTTTTATAGACTATGTAACGCTTTGCCGCTATCCCTTCAAATTTGTCAATCCTGCCCCTCCGAATTCCGTTTCATCAACTTTCTCAATTCTGACCTCCTTTAGACTCAAACTATACCAACACAACATGGAAATAGAGCAAAGGAGAGGATGTGCGTCGACGAAGCAGAAATGAAACTATTCGTACTTGATAGCTGTCCGTGTTGCATTCGCAAAATTGAAGGCGCGATGACGCGAGGCGTGAAAACTCAAAGGCATATACATAGTAAGGTATGACTTGAGGCGTGAAAACTCTTTCTGTACATAGTTTGAAGTGATTTATAGGCTATGTAACGCTTTGCCACTATCACTTTAAATTTGTCAATCCTGCCTCTCCGAATTCTCCGACCTCTTTTAGACGGTCACCCGTGAAATTAATTTCAACGGCGCCGGAGGACCATGTTTGCGGCCGTGGCCAAGTTCTAGAGCCGACCTCTTCACGAATTGAAGTCTCTGCCCCCCCCCCCCTTCCACCACACACACCGAATGTCTACAAATCGAGTCCTTTGACGTAACATATTACTTTTGACCACAACTAGGTCTTCGATTGGAAATTTTGCCAACTTGGAGATTACGAGTCGCAGAAAACGCTGAGAGGCAATTCCGGAGAGGTTTATCCTTGCAGCTGCTATTTTAGATAAGAAATAATGTAAGAAGTATTCATTTGAGGGAATCTTAGGTTATTGTTCTGTTTTTAGTCGTTTTTTTCTTCTTTTTTTTCGTGTTTGAAAATAATGCCACATATGTGTGCGAGAGAGGGAGTGTGTTTTTGTGAAGTTTTGTTTCCAAAAAGCTTAATGTTCTTACAAATCACACTGAAAAAAAAAGTTACGGGTTTTGTAGAAATACTGTCCGTCCTTAGTTTAGGAGTCGAAAGTTCCGGATACTGGAACCGTAGTTTCGACCACTGCGGGTGGCCGGGTGCCACGCGGCGCAGCGGGCGAGGAAGACCAGCGCGACACGCACAATGGCGCCTACAAACCTAACATGGATACTTCACGCATTGCGCAATGCGTGAAGTATCCCTGTTGGGTTTGTAGGCGCCAGTGCGCAATGCGTGAAGTATCCCTGCTGGGTTTGTAGGCGCCAGTGTCTATCGAGTCTATGTCGTACAGTCTATCGATTACGTAAGTACCTACGGCTTCCACGCCCAGAGGTTTTTTTCAGTGCATAAGGTCGATGGTAAAACTTCCGAATCATGTATCTTGGTTTTCGATGTTGCAGACTTCCTGTATAATACTTTGTCTTTAAAATGAAGCTACTCAACATTAATACTGTAAAGCTTCCTTGATTTTTCTCCTCTATGCGAGAAAAATTCTATGGAAACTTCATGGGATTATATTGATTTGTTTCCGCTCATAAAAGTAAAATAGGTGAAATGAATAAATAGGAAATTATAAAACACCGTAAACGAGATATTTTGTTTGAAAGTTTCGCCGTTGATATGTCGCAAGCAAATAGTAAAAGCAGGCATTCGGTCAAATGTCCAGGCGAATTGTCAAATATTCTTACTTATATTGAAATTCTGACTTTTTTCCTAATTTTAGACAAAATAATCCATTGTCCGTCCTGTAAGAAAATTTTCTTCGTGAGAATAAGCATCGCACAGTGATATTTTAAACGATTTTTAGCTCCTGAACCAACATTTATTGCGAAATTTCTAGCACGTCATAAAATACAGATTTTTTAAATTTTTAACATTAAAATATATGAAAGGCATTTGATGAAGAAAAACAAGAAAATTCGTGGGTTTGATGCGTTATATTTCTCAAAATATTGAAAATTCGTGGGGTTTTGGACATTAATTTTGAGCTCTTGGACATAAATTTACAAAATTTTGTCACGTGTCAAAATTTGACTATCTGCCTCGGCATTTGATAAAATGCCTGATTTGACTAATTACCTGCGACAACAAGTAGCATATGCGATATGGAACCGATACATGCTTTTCTTTCGGACTCTAAAAAGCGTTTCCCTTCCAAAATTGTATTTTCGAAAAATATAGACTTGATTTCATGACGCTTCCATATCCACGCAACGCAGCGTAACGCTAGCTCAAACCCTCTTTCCGTAGTCACGTTACATAATACTCGGACTTTCCTTGAGCTTTTAAGAAGAAATAAACGTTCCCGGTTCCGCAACGTTCAATCGCCTGTAACAAACTTAGTTTGAGACGGGATTGGGAGGAAGGGAGTGATGGGTAGCGGGCAAAGAGGGTTAAAGAGAGAGGGCACAAGAAGCCGTAGCTGGCTCTCAGAAGCGTTGGTACCCGGTCCACGCTCCATTACTTTCCTCGTAATCTTATCAAAACGGAGTAAAACACGCAGAAGGAAAACTTAATTATTCTTCATTACAACTGAGACATTTGCATGAATGGTCCGAGAGAGAGGGGCGGGGGGTCTTAATTCTGGGTCCCCGTTCGTTTTGGAGCGAGTCCAGCGGAGAACATAAAACCGATTACGCGAATACACACACGGACACGGACAAACCAGGAACACACACTCCGGCAGTTGCCCAAGATAGCTTTAATTCCTTATTTGTCCGCCCGGCGCTGCATTCGAGGGGTTTTCAATTATGATCGGAAAGAGGTGGGACACGAATTATCCCTCGTGTTTGGATCCGAGTTACGAGTATCGATGGCCTTGGCGGGGGAGAGGGGTGCGGGAAATCACTTAAACCAATGAGAGCTGTTGCCACTATTTTCTTGAAATGACATCCTTCAAAACCTGACTCGCAGAACATGGATCGAAAGTGAGCCAAGTATGTGCGCACCAAAAAGGAAACATGTCATTTCCATCATTTTATTTCCCTTAGTCCTAGTTTGAATCATTACAATTTTAGCACAGAAAAACCGAACACTCTTTGATTTAAAAAGTGCATTCATTTTGAGAGTGGCTCTCATCGTGATACATCGTATTTAATAGACATATTTTAATAAAAATTCAACGAATTAAAGTAAAGTTGAACGTATTTTTGCTAAAAGGAACTATGAGCATAGGGTTTGCATGGAACATGATTCCATCTAGCATAAATATGTCCAATTAACTTGAACGAGGAGTTTGAGGAACAGTGACAAATGAGAGAAAAGGGTAGTCAAAAATTTATACTAAGAGAAATGTAAAATTGGGATGAAATAAATCTCATACTCATGAGATATGAAAATTGTTTCATCGTACGACTTCACATTTTTTTAGACTTTGTTGGTGTCTCTTGCTGCATTCTTGGTTTTATTGATTTTGTGTCCAATGCCAAATTGCAAAATTCAGTTTAAGCAAAAACATACCACACGATGAGAAAACATATCATGAGAGTTCTGATAGATGTTGAGTAACCTAAGCTTTTGGTTTACTCAAATGTCTCCCGATTTTTTTTTTTTTGCTTCGATTCAATTTTGATTCAACTTTTGAACTTACTCGATTGAAAAATGTGATTAGCAACTTTACCCTTTTTATCTTTAAGATACACATATAAAGGTTCATCTATTGATAGATTAATTTTTTCCCGACACATTGTGGGGGCATCTTCAATTTTAGGTGCGGTAAATTTCATTGCCCCTATTTATAGATCGCATTCGATAAAGGTTCGATGTACCGTTTGGTTCGACTCAATAGAGCATAACCTCAAGTAGAAACTTTTGAATTTAAGTTGCAAAAGGTGAAAATGAGAAAATTCCTAACAATTTCACCTTTCATCGCCATTCGCACCCTAAGAACTAAAAATCTATCACAAAAAACCCGTTCCCTTAGATTACTCAATTTACTTTTGAGGCTATTTTTACATGTTGAACCAATCGATATCGATACAATCGCACCTGTTTGATGTATCAAATACGACCCATTTAGCCTTTTTAATTTTCATCGGTGCTCCTATTTCCCGGAGCTAGTACCGAATTTTGAAATTTTTGAGATTTTCCTGAATTTTTCCCGGAACTTTTGAAATTCCTGAAATGTTCCGGATCTTTGGCATTTTCCGGAACGTTCTCGGAACTTTTGAAAATATCCTAAAAGAATCCCGGAACTTTTGATAGTTATGGAGTGGGAGAAATCGGAACAAACAAGCTTCGAATCCTGGAACTTTTGGAATTCCCGAGATGTTCCGGATCTTTGGCATTATCCAGTACTCCCTCGGAGCTTTGGAAAATATCCTGAAAGAATCCCGGAACTTTTGACAGTTATCAAGTTGGCGAAATCCGAACACAAAAGTTTCGAATCCCAGAAACTGATATGAAATGGACGCACTGAATTTCATTAAGAGCGAACGGCAACCGAGGGAAGTGCATGCGGAGGAACGGTAGGACTCTGAGGCCAAGAAACG